ATATATATATATATATATATATATATATATATATATATATATATATATATATATATATATATATATATATATATATATATATATATATATATATATATATATATATATTAGGGATGCAACAATAAAGTTAGCCCACGGTTCAATACATACCTCGGTTTTTTAACACGGATTTCGGTTCGGTTCTCATGGCTTGACACATGTTTTTTTTTTTTTATTCTATAGGCAATATGAAAGTAACAGGTTAAGGAGAAAAAAAAATAAAAAACAATTTATTTTAATACTCATTTTGTTTTACTTAAAAGCCAAGAAAAGTACAGTAGTTCCTATTGTATTGTATAAAAAACATTAACACTGAAATCTCACAGCTGCTGGTAGCCCATGTACAAACTGGGGAACACATAAAATCCTACACTTTGAAAATAAACATACATGTGAAGTTAATAAAGATAAATTGGCCATTTCAAATAAGTTAGACAAAGTATATTTGTACTTAAGTAAACATAAACAAACCATCTTAATTATCTCAGTGCTGAAAAAATGCGAGACTGTAGTCTGTAACGTGAATCGAGTGCTTTTTCATTTAAAATGACAAAAGCCCGCATCTCCAATCATTGAAAACGGCTGCAAATCTTTAGCAATAAACACCCGCATTGCCTTTGTTATTTTTATGTGTCTCTCGGAACCAGTTGGGGATGTTTGCTTGAAAGATTCAGTGAGGGATTGTTGCTATTTGGAGGACTTTATAACCTTCTCTGCTATTCCGCCTTTAGACAGTGATATTGCTGGGTGATGGCGCTGCAGATGTGCAGTCATGGTTTTACGTGTAAAACAATGCTTAAACACAGTTATTTTTTGTTCACCGTTTTTTCTTTTATTGGCATTACACTCACCGGCAAAACCGAAATGTCCTCACACCGCATATTTGAAAGACGCCGGCGCTTTCTCGTACTGTTGCCTCACTTCGCCGTCTCTTCCTTGTACTGTTGCCTCAGCCTCACTTCACCGCCGTTTGCAATGTTGAAGTGTGGAATGATGGTCAAGCGCCCCTTAACTTTAACTTTAGAGCATAGTGATTGGATATTTACTCGCAGGGAGGAGTTTCCCATCTCAGCTCATGGATTTAGAGGCACACACAGTCAATTCGGGGAGACATAAAACGCACATCAATCATTTCAACGCAAAACCAAGAAAACCGCAATTCACAAGCGCGTATTAAACCGTGGAGGTCGTACCGTACGGTACAATATTATATTGAGAACGGTGGCATCCCTAATATATATATATATATATATATATATATATATATATATATATATATATATATATATATATATATATATATATATATATATATATATATATATATATATATATATATATATATATATATATATATATATATATATATATATATATATATATATATATATA